AGGAACTAGTATCAAAATCTCGCTTGATCATTGTAGATTGACGAAAATGTGAAATTTGGTGAGAGTTTAAAGAGAAAGGAGAGAAAAAGAGAAGTTAGAGAGAGAGAGAGATTTGATTTGAGTGAAAAGAGCACGTAAATTGATGTATGGACGTTCAAAATCTACTCATGTGGATTTTAAAACCACTCGTGCGGATCAACTCAGGGAAAAAATGGCTTTCTCATGAAATCTGCTCATGCAGAATCCAAATTTTGTGTTTAAATTGAAGCCCTGGAAATAAGATTTCCAACGGTTCTAGCCTCATATCAAGATTCAAAATGTGAAGAAAGAAAAAGGCAAAAGATTGAAAACTACTCAAAATAAATATTTGAATCTGGCATTCGTAGTCTAATCTTGCCCAACTAACAAGTTAACTCATCAATCAAGACCAAAGAGGAGGATGTTCCAATTATAATAACTAAAAAGTCAAATGCAACCTATAACTTTTCAAAAGTCCAAAAAAAAAGGTAAGTATGGAGTAACGGTTATCACTCCATATAAACAAGTCGGGATTAAAATCCGAGACACTATAGATATAGATTCCATACCATAACCATTGAAACTAAAAATAGTAATTACATCATTGCATGTTTTAAAATCACAAAATTTAAGAAAATAATAGTAATATATTATTGACGATGATTAAGAGGATTTAAAAATTAACTTAATTAATGTAAATTTTTTTAGACTAATCACAAAATGACATGTGAATTTTCAGTGTTAAATTTTTTTTTAAAATATGAGAAAATTAGATTGAGATTTCCAACCTCAAAGAGGCCACAGCGTTTTTGCTTGTACTATATAAGGCCTTTTTGAAAAGTAGGAAAAAGCCAACTTATCTTTTCTCTACTTTTTTATACGTTTTTTTTTTAAAGTTAAATAAAATAAAAAAAAGGCCAAGAAACTAGTTTATTTTCCTATTTCCCAAAACAAGCGATAATATGAGTTTATTGAATAGGTTTAGGAGGTATGGGATAGATTTTTAAACTCGGCCTGGCTGGGCTTGGAATAAGATTTCTTTATCTTTTCTAGTGTAACCTAAACTCTGTTGTACAAAAAAGTGTATTTAAATAAAAAATAACCATATTCATATTTAATTAAATTGAAGAATACAAAACAAGAAATCAAGCTAGAGATTACAACTTGGTGAATAGAAAAATATATACTAAAATAAAATAGTGTAGAAAGCAAACCGAAACTTGTGTGATACCACTGTCACCTTAAAATAGATTTGTCCCATCACCGTGAGTACTGGAGGTATATCGGCGTCTGTCTCCTAAGATACAACGATTAAAACCCGCTAACTTAGAAGCATAGGAAGAATATTATAGGAGTAAACTGATTATATAATATGAGTACAAAAAATTATGTGTCCGAAACCAAATAAGATGGTTTCTTTTTATACACAATAGGAGAAAGAGAAGGAGCCTCCTAGCCATGAAGGCTAGCAACAAACGCAGGCAAAACTGCCCAACCTCAAGTCTTAAGCCCAAGATCTACGATCCACGAACCCAGACCAAGATCCACGACCCATGGACCTGGACTGATCCAGTTGGGTAAGCCTTAAGCCCAAGATTCACGACCCACGGACCCAGACCGAGATCCACAACCCACGGACGCAGACCGGTCCAGTACGGTTGGGCAAGCGACACACCGCACGTGTGACAATTTTTGCATAACCAACTCGGATCATAATTTTGGCCCAAGCTCATCCTTGAAGGATCTATAACTCCCTTCCTTCAAAAATTTTGGATGCCCCAAATGGCTCATTCTCTTATCAAAAACTTGGAATTTAAATACTCATCAATACTATCATCTACAATCAATGTGAGATTGGTGGTTATATACCATTCTCAATACTTCATTCATGAGGCCAACTTTATGAGATAATTTCTCATTCAATTCTTAATGATTTTTTGTCATTCTTTTTGTGGTATAAAGATCTTGTTATGAAGAATTTAGACCAATTTGATCCCACATCAACTGGTGGTTGAAATCTACTTTAATTTCATATTAAAATTATTATAAAATCATTTTTTTCCAACAAACTCAACCTAGTCTGATCAAAGTCTCATGTTTAATTGAATGTTTAAAATACAAAATATGAATTAACTTATAAAAATAAACATACACAAAAAAATTCAAAATTAATTTTGCCCCCAAAAAAGAAAATAATATAACTTACTCAGTAGCTTTAGGGCTGGTTTGGCATACCTCAAAAAATTTAAAAAGCTAAAAAGTTACTAAAAAATTTAAAAAGTTATCACTATTCACCAAAAAAATATATAAAAAAATTAATTTTGCACAAAATTATTACAAACAACTCTGATGTCCCCACAGACATAGAGCTGACTTTTTTGAAAAAATCGCACAGGTGGGTGCACGAACAATACGGTGTTGTTCGGCCCATGGGGGCCCATCACGGGTCTCGTTTTGATTAGCTGAACTATGAATGTGTAGAACTCGTCGAGTACTATATGCTTGCAAAAAAATCACATTGATCAGATATCGCTAACTACATGATCAAATCAGTTTTGCATAAAAAAATGGATGGTGTTATAGTTAATAATTAAAAAAAACTAATCTGATCAGATAGCTATCAATATCCGATCAATATGATTTTTTACAAGCATATAGTACTCGACGAGTTCTACACATTGACGGTTCCGATTAGCAAAACAGGACCTATGGTAGGCCCCCATGGACTGAACAACACCGTCCAATTCAAACTGGAAAAGTAGGCAATCATTTCCCATCTCATATCCAACGGAATCCACTATCTTCTTCTACACACTTATTTATATAATTTTTAATACATATTTTTTTCGTAAAAAGTCAAAAAGTTAACCCAAATGTCTATCTTTTTTTTCTTAAATTTTTAATTTAAAAAGACAAAAAATACACTTATTTAGGACACTCCAAACAACTCCTAATTATTAAATATCTAATATTCAAATAGCTTCATTACAAGCTGATTTTACACAAGAGGAAACCGCTTTCATTCATGAGGCCAACTTTATGAGATAATTTCTCATTCAATTCTTAATGATTTTTTGTCATTCTTTTTGTGGTATAAAGATCTTGTTACGAAGAATTTAGGCCAATTTGATCCCACATCAACTGGTGGTTGAAATCTACTTTAATTTCATATTAAAATCATTTTTTTCCAACAAACTCAACCCAGTCTGATCAATGTCTCATGTTTAATTGAATGTTTAAAAAACAAAATATAAATTAACTTATAAAAATAAACATACACAAAAAAATTCAAAATTAATTTTGCCCCCAAAAAAGAAAATAATATAACTTACTCAGTGGCTTTAGGGCTAGTTTGGCATACCTCAAAAAATTCAAAAAGCTAAAAAGTTACTAAAAATTTTAAAAAGTTATCACTATTCACCAAAAAATTATATAAAAAAATTAATTTTACACAAAATTATTACAAACAACTCTGATGTCCCCACAGACATAGAGCTGACTTTTTTGAAAAAATTGCACAGGCGGGTGCACAAACAACACAGTGTTGTTCGGCCCGTGGAGGCCCGTCACGGGTCCCGTTTTGATAATCTGAACTGTTGAATATGTAGAACTCGTCAAGTACTATATGCTTGCAAAAAAAATCACGTTGATCGGATATCGCTAACTACATGATCAAATCAGTTTTGTATAAAAAAAAATGGATGGTGTTATAGTTAACAATTGAAAAAAAACTAATCTGATCAGATAGCTATCAATATCCGATCAATGTGATTTTTTACAAGCATATAGTACTCGACGAGTTCTACACATTGAACGGTTCCAATTAGCAAACAGGACTCGTGGTGGGCCCCACGAGGCGAACAACACAGTCCAATTCAATGCTAGAAAAGGAGGAAACCATCTCCTAGCTTATACTCTTCACACGCTGCCCTTTAGGACATCCCATTCTACTGCCTATTTTATCTCAATCTTCTCCTATACACTAATTTATACAATTGTTTAATACACATTTTTTCGTAAAAAGTCAAAAGTCATCCCAAACAACTATCTTTTTTTCCTCAACTTTTTAGTCTAAAAAATCAAAAAATATACTTATTTAGAACATTTCAAACAATCCCATTTATAATTATTTTTGCTCCCAAAAGTTGTCTTTTTTGATACTTTTGTTGTTGCCTTCATATGAAAAATGGCGATAATTTAAGCACAAATAACATATGGTAAAACAAACCACAAGTAGAGTGTCGGCATATTGTTTGCTTCACACAAAAATTTATTCAAAGCATCTTTTGAAATTTGCAAAGTACCCAATCATTATTTCCAATCATCATCATCCAAAATAAGAAAACATGGCCACAAACAGTCTCTGTCGTCCAAGACGAGAAAACATGATCACAAACAATCTCCGTACTGTCCCTGTAATTGATTCAAAACATTACATAATAGTGTCGACATATTGTTTACTTCCCACAAAAATTTATTCAAAACATCTTTTAAAATTCAAATATGCGGGACCCAAATTAATTCACTCAGATAAATAATTTTGAGTGACTGATTGTAAGATGAATAGTAATTTGTATGGTATGAGATTTATGTATAGTGTAAGTTAGTTGCGTGGATGTGAGCAGTAATAGTAGAGATATTATACTTTCTAAATCTCTTTTGGTACATTCCATTTTCTTGTACTTGTAATTTCTTATTTTTAATAAAATTTTTATTTGCAAATCAAAAAAAAAAAAAAATTTAATGTGTAAAATAAATTTGAATCACAAGATAAAATATTTGAATAATTTCTAAATTGATAAAAGTAGGTTAGTAAAATTACACTTTAAAATTTGCAAAAAAGGCAACCATAATTTCCAATCATCGTCATCATCCAAAATAAGAAAACATGGCGGCTATCTAAAAGAAAAAATTTAAAAAAAAAAAAAAAGGGGAAAGAAAACATGGCCACGAGCAGTCTCTGTACTGTAATTGATTGAAAGCATTACATAGAGTGTCGACATATTGTTCGCTTCCCACAAAATATTTATTCAAAACATCTTTTAAAATTTGCAAGTACCTAACCATAATTTCCAATCATTGTCATCCAAAATAAGAAAACATGGCCAGAAACAGTCTCTGTGCTGTCCCTGTAATTGATCTGGAAGTCTTTCCAGGACAGTCAAGGAAGATGATAGAGGCATGTGAGGAATTGGGTTGTTTTAGGATCATCAACCACCATAAATTCCTGCCTCCAGCACTGTCGTCGGAGATGAAGGCGGTGGCGCGGTCATTAATGGAGCTTTCAGCCGAAATTAAGCGGCGGAACAAGGGCGTGATACGCAGCAGTGGGTACGAGGAACCTACCCAATTCAATCCTTATTTTGAGGCCTTAGGCCTATATGACATGGCCTCTGCTCAAGCTGTTGATGCCTTTTGTACTCAGTTGGATGCCTCTCCTCACCAAAGGTAGGTTTATTGCTCTCCATAGGTACTAGGTGATAGGAAAATTTGATGAAATGTGTCTCTAAATTCCTATATATATTTATGAATTAAATACAATCTAAATTATTAGCGATTTGACTCCATCCACCTCTCTATATTTATGGGGGCTATTTACAACTTTGGAAGGTTTTTTTTTTTTTTTTTTTTTTTTTAATCATATTGTGCAAAATTTTTTTTTTTTGTATTAATCATATTGTGCAAAATTTTGGTTCCAATCACATAATAAATCAATAAACAATGAGTGATACTAGAGATCCTAAATAATCTACTAAATTTTCTATTAAATCTCTCACATATGACTTTGTATGAGTCTTACACCCATGTGAGAGGTTTGATAAATTATTTAAGGCTCATAATATTTTGCATAAACAACAAGAAAAATCACACTCAAATACTAAATATACATGGGTTGGTGAGATGACTATATTCACGATAGAGAAAGAGACTGAAAATTTACTATATACAATTAGGATTATAAGAAGACTCTCAATCTCTTCACAATTCTCTGTTTCTATTTCTGGCTTTGCGCTGAAGTCGATAGCCTCCGTAAAAGGCCCTTTACGGTATTATAAGTGTACATTAACTACAAGACATATCATAATAAATTAAATATGATGGTTATTAAGGTCTTACTTGTCATAACTTAAAAAATTTTAAAAATTAAAAAGTCACTATTATATTTAAATCGTATCATTTTATTTAAGTTATATTACCTCTTTGTCATATCACTTCAAACATAATCCATACCCAACTCATATTTTATAAAAAGTAAAAAAGTGCACTTATTTGGATCATCACAAATCACCCCTAAATGTCTCCACCTTTTTTCTTTACACCCCCACCTCTTCTATCTTTTTTTTTATTACAATTCTACCCTAACATTAATTTTCATTTTTGAACTCATCTCTATCCTTCCAACTCTAACCTTAACCCCAATCCCTACCCCAATCCCAACCCCACATCTACCTCCACTTTCACTTTCCTCAACTTTGGCTAACAACCTTCTCTGATAGCCATTCCAATGTTTTCCCACCAACGACCACTCTTCCGCCACGGTGACCCATTTCCACTTCTCTCTCTCTCTCTCTCTCTCTCTCTCTCTCTCTCTCGCTCGTTGGCTCGCTTCTTCTTTTGGGTCGCTGTCCACACTATCCTTCTACCACATTCACAGTTGTCCCGTCATTAAGACCGCCACCCTACAACTGTTATCACATGCGTATGGAACGTATGTTGTATTTAGTTATGACATTATTTCAATTATGACTTATGAGTTTTTTAGTTATGTCTGTAGACATCCCATTTTTGACCGTCCTCAAGACTTGGACGTCATCGTTTGAACACTCGATGATCATCCATGCTCGTGTTCGTTTTGAGTTCCTGAAGGCCTCGGCTATGCGCCTTGCCTTGGAGTCTCTCAACTTGTCTGTTTTGTGCTTGGTTGTGGACCAAGAGCTTGTGGCTTTGTTTTTTAGGGAAGGGGGTGGCTTGTCAGCCAGGCCCCATACCCATCGGCCATCAGTGGTGATCGGTCAGCGTCACTGATGGCCGGTCGGCACCTTCAATGGCCGGTCGGCCATGTTTTTTGGTCGAGGCCCTTTTCTTTGCTTTTGCAGATATTTTTATTGCCAGCTGTGCTAGCTGGTGAGCATAGAATGCATCCTCCATACGTGTATGGAGGGATTGCACCAAGTTTCTAGCTTGTTCAACAAGCTTGAGACTTGAATTTCTATAAGAGGGGAAGCTCCTCTCCCCTTTTAGAGGTTCGAAAAATTTGCTTAGGGCTATACATATCCCTCTCTCTCTTGATTTCTCCCTCTCTCTCTCTCTCTATATTTGCACTAGTTTGTGCCTTAAAGTGGTTTTTCTTCTCACTTTTGCACTAAAGCACCTAGTGAAACACCTTCACTCTTGAGCTGAGGTACTTGGGGGTTTGTTTGAAGCTCAAAAGCTTGGTTTTTGCATCAGAAGTTACTGTTTTGAAGTTGTTCTTCAAGGGTGAGTCTCTATCCTCTTTAAAGCTTTATCGTAGTTGCTTACTTAGCCATCTTTGCATGCTTCTTTTGGCTTAGCTTTCAACTGTAAAAAGTTCTATTTTCAAGTGCTTAAGGTGGTTGTTTGAGACCTCTTTGGTGTTGAGGGTGTTCTACCCTCTTCTGTGCCTTATTGGCTTGAGCTTGGTGCCATCTTTTAAGGCCTGTGAGTTCATCTTTGTTTGGCTTTTTCACCACTGAATTTCAGAGGAATTTCAGTGGTGGAAAGTGTGTTTTGAGGCCCCAAATGGGAGAGGGTGGTCCCCTCTCCTCTTGTCTTGCATGCATGTGTTGATGGCTCACCAAATGAGCATGCATTTCTTCCTTCTTGAGGCTTAGTTTGAGCATGTTTTTGTGACTTTTTTAACATGTTATAACTCTGTTTTTAGTTGGTTTGATCACTTGTTGCATGCTCCTTACACTTGTAGTGTAAATCCTCTTTGCTAACCTTGCATGCCTAATGAGTTAGCATGTTATTCTAGCATGTTTTGGTTCTATCTCGGCATGTTTTTGGTATTATTTTGGTGAATTCCAGAGGAATTTCAGTGGTGGAAAATGTGTTTTGAGGCCCCAAATGGGAGGGGGTGGTCCCCTCTCCTCTTGTCTTGCATGCATGTGTTGATGGCTCACCAAATGAGCATGCATTTCTTCCTTCTTGAGGCTTAGTTTGAGCATGTTTTTGTGACTTTTTTAACATGTTATAACTCTGTTTTTAGTTGGTTTGATCACTTGTTGCATGCTCCTTACACTTGTAGTGTAAATCCTCTTTGCTAACCTTGCATGCCTAATGAGTTAGCATGTTATTCTAGCATGTTTTGGTTCTATCTCGGCATGTTTTTGGTATTATTTTGGCATGTTGTAACTCTGATTTTGGTTGGTAGAGCCACCTCTTGCATGCTTCTTACACTTGTAATATAAACCTTGCTCACTAGCCTAATATACTTGGTGTTTTGGCCCATTTTTCTAGCATATTTTGGCTCCACTCCAGCAAGTTTTTACTCATGTTTTAACATGCTTTAGCTCTGTTTTGAGGCTTCTTGGTCGTATGATGCTTGTTATGCATGCTTGTAGTGCAATAGCCTTGAATAACTTTGAGTTTTGAGCTATCTTGCATGCTTGGCTTGAGGTATTTGCATGCTTTGGCATCATTTGGCATGTTATTTCAAAGCATATAGTGTTGCCACACTTCCATATTTTTCACTCGTTAGGTGCTTTTGAGAGTTGCACCTTTATGCCTAGCTTGCAAGCCATTGCATGAGCATCATTCCCTTGCCATTCATGCTATCATTTCAGATCATTTTGGCCACTGTTTTGGCATGCATGAGGTATATTTGGTGTTGGTTTAGTCCATTGAGTATTGTATTGCATGCCTCTTGTATGATACTCTTTGCTTGCTTTAGTGCTCTTAGCTCCTTAACATGCCTTACATGCGTTGTTTACATGGTGGAATCTTGTACATACCACCTTAACATGTCAAGATTAGCATGTTGGTAGATGAGCATGTTGTTTTCATGTGTGTTGCATTGCATTGTTTTTGGATCGAACGTTAATCCAAACACGAGGAACGAGAGACGTTTCATACTCAAAGTGATAAAACGTGCCTCATTCCTTAGGTCGTCGTCACCTTTGATCATGTATGATAAGGTGGAGGTTCATCGAGTCCTATGTGTTATTTGTGCATTCATCAACATTGTGCAAGCTTGACTCTTTGGCCATCATGCATTAAGATGCATGATTGGTGGCTCGAGAGCCGAGCACTACACTCCTTTGAGCATGAGACATGATAAGGAGTGTGGTTGCACACACATTTTCTTGCAAATTACACTGCCATGCCTCTGTTTGTGCTCTATTGCAGCAAAAGGAGAAATTGCAAGAAGCAGTGGCCGACCGGTCATCAAAGCTGCCAACCGGCCACCAAAGCTGTCGATCGGCTATCAGAAGTGGCCGATAGCCATCCCTCTTGGCCGACCATCCCTCAGCATGTTCCTAAGGTGGGTCAAAGGCATTCTGAAAGTTGGCATAATTTTCAGAAGTGTGCAAACAGAGGCATCATGAGGCATGGTACTGGATTTCCGGGAGGAAGCCGATCAAGCATGCATGCTTCCCTCGTCCTGAGGCCTTTTAACTGTTTTGCTTAGCTAGCTAATTCTTTGGTTCTGTACTTAATTAGTTAACGTGCTTAGTTAATCAATTTGTGTTGTAATAACTAATTAGTTAACTAGGTTGGTTAATTAGGTAGTTTGTAATAAGTAGCTTAGCTTAGCGCTTATTATTCGGACCCTCCGTTGAGAGGGCAAATGTTGTAATAAGCGTGCGTATGTGCAATGCATGTCTTCCAACCCCATTTTTTTCTCCCTTTTACTTATCAGCTTTCGATGATTAGTTTAGGGCATGTTTCAATTAGCATACTTATGCTTTGCATGCGTGCATCATTCATTCATCTCGCATGCACTGGGCTCGGCGCATCATTCAAACTGCATTGTATTTTAATACACTTTCTTGAATACGTGTTTCAAAGCATGTTATCAAGTGTTGCATTCATATGCCATTCTAGATAACCGAGCCTATTTTAGTTGCATTTTTGCATGTGTTGCATTAGGCATCTTAACATAGGTAGGATCATGCATGATTTCTAACTAGCTTCTATTTTGTCTCGGAGTACACTGTGAGTGTTTACGCTTTAGCATCCTTGCATGTGTATAAGTGATTTCCATGATAGCATGCTTGCCATGAGGCTATTTGCTTAAGTGTTTAACTGCATGAATGCCTGTGGATAAAGGCTTCATTGTTTGAAATGGAACAATTCATCAAAATGTGTGTTTTAAGCCCACTTTACGGAATGGCAAAATCACGTTATTTTCTAAGCCCACTTGAGGGTGGCAAATTCGTGTCTTAGCCTACTTGCGAGTAGCACTTCCAAATCATTTTCGAAAA